GCTGTGCCGGTGCCCGCCGGTGCCGGGAGAAGACAGCGCGCTCCAGCGAGCTCACGGCGTGCTGCAGGTCCGCAAAGAGGTCGGGGCCGTGGGCTGGGGAGAGGGAGCACAGCCAGGGTCGGGTCCCTGCAGCAGGCAGCGAGCTGCCGGCACGCCATGGCACGGCACCGCACGGGGCCCACACACCACCGTTTGTGCGATGGCACGGCACGGCACGGTGCACCCACCTTCCAGACTGGAGGCGGCATGCCGCATGCCGTCGAGGCACCGGGGCTGGCAGCAGGCAGTCCCGGCAGCAGGCAGCGAGCTGCCGGCACGGCATGGCATGGCACGGCACGGCACGGTGCACCCACCTTCCAGACTGGAGGCGGTGTCGAGCATGCCGTCGAGGCACTGGGGCTGCGGGCTGGCAGTGGGGAGGCTGGCGGTGCCCTCCCAGCCCTCCTCATCCTCCCTGCGGGGAGGCGAAGGCCAGAGATGGAGGGGGCCGGGCGGTGGCAGCCCCCAGTGTCCCGCAGCTGCCGCGTGCCGGTACCTGCCCGTGCGGTGCTGCAGCTGCTCAGCTCTCCGGTGCAGCCGGGCCACTGTCGCCAGTAGCCCGGCGACGTGCTCCTCATAGTGCAGGATGCCTTCGGTGTCCCCCGCCATGTCCTCATCATCATCTTCGCCCTCATCCTCATCCTTCTTGTCCTCATCCTCCTCCTCGCCTGGTGGCGGCTGCGGGGACCAGGGGTGTCTGCCCGTCCTGGCCCCGGCCGGCACCAGGGGCTGGAGGGGCTGACACCCGCCAGGATTTGCCGGGATGGGGACAGATGAGTTTTGGCCACCAGCCGACTGGCCACAGCGCCTCGCCCCGCTCTCCGGAGCCGGGGCTGGGCAGGACCTGGTGCTGCCACGCCATTGTGTACCGGAGCCTGGCACCGGGACCAGGGATGCCCGGGGCTGGGGGATGCCCGTGGGGGGCACGAGGAGGCCCTCAGCTGTGTGGAACCAGCCCCCGGCAGCGCCCGTCCCGCGGGATACCCCACTTGCCTTCTCCATACCGGCCGCCTCCTGCCCGCGACGCCCCACGCCAGCCAGCGCCCGTCCCCAGGGCTCGTCCCGCTTCCACAGCCGG